CTGATTTTTGAGTGATTTTGGGGTTTTAGGACCATTTTGGGGTGAATTTGGGATTTGGGGGTGATTTATGGGTCCTTTGGGATATTTTGGGGTGATTTTGGGGCATTTTGATGTAATTTTAGGGTAATTTTGGGCTGCTTTAGTGTTTCGGGGGTAATTTTGGGGTGACTTTGGTCCATTTTGGGATATTTTGGGACATTTTGGGGGGATTTAGGGCTCCTTTGGGGAAATTTGGGGTGAATTTGGGGTATTTTGTGGCTGTTTTGGGGTGATTTTGGGTTGAATTTGGGCTGAATCAGGGTGAATTTGGGGTGATTCGGGGCCATTTTGGGGGTTTTGGGATAATTTCAGGTGAATTTCAGGTGAATTTAGGGTAATTTGGGAGGATTTGGGGGATTTTGATGCTTTTTGGGCTGCTTTGTTATGAATTTGGGGTACTTTTGGATATTTTGGCCAATTTTGGGATATTTTTGGGTTATTTTGGGACCTTTTGGGTTTTTTGGGAGTTTTGAGGTGATTTGGGGGTATTTAGGGCCATTTTAGGGTGATCTTGGGTCATTTGGGGGAGATTTAGGGCTCTTTTGGGATTTTTGGGATAATTTTGGGGTGATTTTGGGGTAACTTTCGGGGATTTTAGGATATTTTGGGGGATTTGGGGCTGTTTTGGGGTGGTTTTGAGCCATTTTGGGTGTTTGGGGGGAATTTGGGGGTTTTTGGGACATTTTGGGGTGAATTTTGGGGTATTTGGGATTTTGGAGAGTTTTGTGGTGAATATTGGGGTATTTGGTTGTGAATGTTGGGATATTTTAGGTTGTTTTGGGTTTTTTATGTGAATTTTGGGCTGTTTTGGGGTGAATTTTGGGCTGTTTTGGGGTGATTTTGGATATTTTGGGATGAATTTGGGGTGAATTTTGGGGTATTTGTGGGTATTTGGGGCTGTTTTGGGTTTTTGGGGTGAATTTTCAGGGTTTTGGGGAGAATCTGGGGTTTGGGGGTGAATTTTGGGGTTTTTAGGGTGAATTTTTGGGGTAATTTTGGGATATTTTTGGTTGAATTTTAGGATATTTTGAGGTATTTGGGGTTTTTTGGGTGATTTTTGGATAAATTTTGGGTTAGTTTGGGGTATTTGGGGGGATTTTGGGCTGTTTTGGGTCTTTAGAGTGATTTTGAGCAATTTTGGGGTGAAATTTGGGTTTTTTGGGGTGAATATTGGGCTGTTTTGGGGAGAATTTGGGGGTTTTGGAGTAAAATTTGGGATTTTTGGGGTGAATTTTTGGGTTATTTTGAGGTACGGTAAAATTTGGGATTTTTGGGGTGAATTTGGGGTGAATTTTTGGGTTATTTTGAGGTACTTGGGGGGGGTTGGATTGTTTTGGGGCAAATTTGGGGATTTTGGGGTGAATTTTGGGGTTTTTGGGTGACTCACAGCAGGGTCAGCGCTGGGAGGTGCCGGAAGCTCCCCTGGGGCAGCACCTCGAGGTCTCAGCAGATCAGGGAGATGGAACGGGGCAAAAACACCGGAATTTGGGGAAAACGAGGAAAAACTGGGAATTTGAGGGGAAAATGGGGGAATGTGGGGGGACTTTGGGGGAATTTTGGGGAGAATTTAGGGGGAAATGGGGGAGAAAATGGGGAATTTTGGGGGAAATGGGAAATTGGGGGATTTTTTGGGGGGGAATGGGGGAATTTTGGGGGAAAATTGTTGGAATTTGGGGGGAAATGGGATTTTGGGAACATTTGGGGGAAATTTGGAGGCAAAATGGGAAAACTGGGGGAAATATGGGGGAATTTGGAGGGAATTTTGAGGAAATTGGGGGAATTTTGAGGGATTTTTGTGCAATTTTGGGGGAATTTGGGGAAAATTGGGAGGAATTTGGGGTAATTTGGAGGAAAATGGGAAAATTGGGGGAATTTTGGAGAATTCTGGGGGGAAATGGGGAAAAATTAAGGGGAAATTGGGAGAAAACAGGGAATTTGGGGGAAACTTGGGGAATTTTGGAAAGAAAATGGGAATTTGGGAGATTTGTGAGGAAAATGTATGAAATTTCTGGAATTTTGGGGAAATTTGGGGGGAAGTGGAGAGAAAATGGAGAATTTTGGAGAAAAATTGGTGGGATTTGGTGGAAAATGGGAAAATTGGGTGAAATTTGAAGGATTTTAGAGAAATTTGGGGGAATTTTGGGAGATTTTGATGAAAATTTGGGGAATTTGGGGGAATTGGGGGAGTTTTTGGGGTATTTGGAGGAAAATTGGGGGAATTTGGGGAAAACTTTAGGGAATTTTGGGGAAATTGGAGGAATTTGGGGGATATTGGGGGAAAATGGGTATTTGAGGGAATATTAGGGAATTTGGGGGGAAATGGGAAAGTTGGGGGAATTTGGGGGAAATATTGGGGGAATTTTGTGGAATTTTGGGAAAATTGATAATTTGGGGTAATTCTAGGGAATTTGAGGGGGAAATGGGAAATTTGGGGAACTTTGGGAGAATTTGAGAGGGAAATTTGGGGGGGAATTGAAGAATTTTGGGGAATTTTGGGGGAAAATGAGGGAACTGGGGGGAAAATGGGGAAAAAAAGGGGAAATTGGGAAAAATGGGAGGAATGGGGGGGACTGGGAGGGAAACTGGAGGGAACTGGGACCAAACTGGTCCAAACTAGGACTAAACTGCTCTAAACTGGTCTAGACTGGGACTAAACCAGTACCAAACTGGTCTAAACTGGTCCCAGTTCCCCTCAGGCCGTACAGGGGGCGGGGCTTAAAGGATGATGTCATGGGGTGGGGCTGGAAGGAACCATTGGGGGTCCCAGGGGGATTTGGGGCTCCAAATTGGGGGTCCTGGGGCCATTTTGGAGAATTTTCAGGTCCCAGATTCGGGGGATTTTGGAGTTTTGGGGGGGTCCCAAAGTTGGGGGACTTTGGGGGGTCCCAGCGGGTTTTGGGGTCCCAAATTTGGGGTCCTAAATTTAGGGGGGCGTTTGGGGAGTCCCGGGGGGGATTTGGGGCATTCCAAATTTAGGGGTTTTTTGGTGTTTTGAGGGTTCCAAATTTGGGGGATTTTTGAGTTTTGGGGGTTCCAAATTTGGGGTCCTGGGGGGGTTTTGGGGTCCCAATTTTAGGGGATTTGGGGGTTTTGGGGGTCCCAAATTTGGGGATTTTTGGGGACTCCTGGAGAAAATCTTGGGGAAGATTTTTGGGGGTGCAGAGTTGATTTTGGGGGGTCCTGGGGGACATTTGGGATTTTGGGGGGGATTTGTGGTTTTCTGGTGGTCCCTGAGGGGATTTTAGAGAAGACCTGGGAATTGTGCGGTGTCCTGGGGGTGATTTTGGGGGGCCCAGATGGAATTTTGTGGGAAATTTGGAGATTTTGGGGTGTCCTGCGGGGATTTGAGGATTTCTGGGAGGAGATTTGGGATTTCTGGGGGGGTCCAGGGAGGATTTTGGGGATAGATTTGAGAAATTTGGGGAGTCCTGGGTGGAATTTGAGAAGAACCTGGGGGGTCTGGGGGATTCTGGGGGTTTCCAGGCTCCGCCCCCGAGGCCAAGATGGCCCAAAGCTCCGCCCGGGACTGGCCCAGCCTGAAGGGAGCGCGGCAAAATCCCTCGGGGACCCCAAAATCCCCTCCAAATACCCCAAAATTCTCTCAGGGACCCCAAAATTCCCTCAAAATCTCAAATCCCCCAAAATCCCATCAGAGACCCCAAATGTCCCCCAAAATCCCCTCAAAGTCCCTTCAAAATCCCTCAGAATCTCCTCAGATTTCCCAAATTATTCTCAAAATCCCCTAAAATCCCTCAAAATCCCTCAGGGCCCCTCTGGCCCAGCCTGAAGGGAGCGCGGCGAAATCCCTCGGGGACCCCAAAATCCCCTCCAAATACCCCAAAAATCCCTCTGGGAGCCCAAAATCCCCTCCAAATACCCCAAAATTCTCTCAGGGACCCCAAAATTCCCTCAAAATCTCAAATCCCCCAAAATCCCATCAGAGACCCCAAATGTCCCCCAAAATCCCCTCAAAGTCCCTTCAAAATCCCTCAAAATCCCTCAGGGCCCCCAAAATTTCCTAAAAATCCCCCAAAGTCCCACCAGAGACCCCAGAATCCCCTCAAAATTGCCCAACATCCCCTCAGGAACCAAAAAATCTCCTTAAAATCCTACCAGGGAACCCAAAATCTCCTCAAAATCCATCAAATTGCCTCAAAATCCTCTCAGAGACCTCAAAATCTCTTCAGGGACACCAAAAATCCTCCCAAAATCCCCCCAGATCACCTCAAAACCACTAAAATCTTCTCATGCACCCCAAAATCTCCTCAAAATTCCCCAAAATTGCCTCGGGGACCCAAGAATCTCCTCAAACACCCCTCAGAGACACCCAAACCCGATCAAAAGCCCTCAGAATCACCTGAGGGACCCCAAAATCCTCAAAACCCCCCAAAATCTCTTTTTAATATCCCCCCAAATCCCCTCATCACCTCAAAATCTCCTCAAGATCCCCTCAGGCACCACAGAAATCCCTCAGGAACCCCAAAATCTTCTCAAAATAACCCAGAATTCCCTCAGGAACCCTAAAATTCCCTTAAAATCCCCCAAAATTAGCTCGTGGACACCAAAATCCCCAAAAATTTCCTTAAAATCTCCCAAACATCGCCTCAGAAACACAAAATCCCCCCAAACAACCAACAAAGACCCCAAAATTTCCTTAGAATTTCTGACAATCTCTTCCAGACCCCAAAATCCCCTCAAAATCCCCTCAAAATTCCCTCAGAGACCTCAAAATCTCCCAAAATCTCCTTAAAATCCCCAAAAAATTTCAAAACTCCTTTCTGGGACCACAAAATCTCCTCAAAATCCCCCCAAAATCCCCCAAACCCCCCAAAAATCCCCTCAGGAACTCAAAATTATCCCAAAATCCCCCAAATCCCCCTTTGCCCATATAAGGAAGCTCTCATTGCCCATATAAGGAATCCCCACCAAGCCCCACCCCCTTTAGGCCCCGCCCATTTCACCTTTGCGGGATGGCCTTTAGCGCCCCCTGGCGGCTGCTGCGCAGCCCGGCAGGGCTCGGCTCCGCCCCAGCAGCCGAAGCTCCGCCCCTCGCTGAAGCTCCGCCCACCTCCGGCTTCGCAACGCCTCCAGCGAAGCCTCTGAGGGAAAGAAGACCCCAAAATTGGGGTTTGGGGAAGTCAGGGACCCCAAAATGGGGGTTTGGGGGATCAGCGGATCCCAAAAATGGGGGGGATCCCAACATTTGGGGGTTGAGAGACCCCAAAACGGGGTTTGAGAGTAGGAACCTTTGTGCAGGTGCCGCGTTTCCAGCCGGACTCACCGAGGCACTGCGCCGTTTCCTGTGTGCCCGCAATGGCGTCCCCAGGTCCTGCACCTCCTTCCGGAGCCGCGCCACCTCCGCGTGCAGCTCCCCCTGGTGGCTCGGAGGACTGGCAGCGGCCTGCGCCGACATTTGACCCCAAATCCTCCCAAATTGACCCCAAAAATCCCCTAAAATTCCCTCGAATCTCCCTGAGATTGCCCCTAGAGTCCTCACGATCCCCAAAATTCCCAAAGTACCAAGAAAATCCCACAAAAAAAAAAATATTAAAAAAACATGGCTCAAAATTTACGGGAGCCCCAGTGTTGGGAAATCTCCACAAATTTTGGAAAATCCCCCAAAAATTTTGGGCAAATTCTCTCCCCATTCATCTTGAGGGATCCCCAAATTTTCAAAGAGGTCCCAAACAAACCCCAAAAATGGCTGGGACCCCTTAAACCCCCCCAAATTTTACAGGTCCCAAATCTTAGAAACACCTGAAAATGTCCCCCAAATCCGAGGAAAATCACCCCAAATTTTGGGGACCCTCCAAATTCCCTCCAAACCCTCCCAAAAGTTGGGGTCCCCCTCCCCTCCAGCTCCTGCAGGTGTCCATACCTGAACCCCAAGTTAAGGAACAATTCTGGGACCCCCAAATGTCTCCCCTTAAATTTTGGGGCGAACCCCCAAACTTGGGCTCCCCCAACCCAAATTTTTGAGGTCCTCCCCCAAGTTTTGGAGTGCCTCCATTGATTTTGGACCTCCCAAATAATTTGGGAACCTCCCAGATTTTGGGGTTCTCCCCAATTTTTTGAAGTGTCCTCCCATTTTCAATTCCAGGATCCCCCAAACTTTTGGGGAGCGCCCCCCCACAAGTTTTTGAAACCCCCAAAATTTCGGATACCAGCGCAGATTTCCCCGAATCTTCTTCACGTTCCTGTGGGGACACCCCAAAAATTCTGAGAGGGGGGAACCAGGGAAAAGGGCGGGAAAAGCGGCGCGGGTCATCACGGGAGTTGTAGTTCGGGAGGGGTGGGGGTTCCAGTGATGTGCTACGGGCGGCGCGGAGCATGACGGGAGATGTAGGCTCGGCTATATGGAGGCTCAAGGGGGCGCGAGGCATGATGGGAGTTGTATGCGCGCGTACGAAGATATCTATGGGCGCCGCGGGGCATGATGGGAGTTGTAGTTTTGGAAAGCGCTTCCCGCCTCTTCCCCCCTGAATTTTGGGGTCCCCTTTCAATTTTGGGGGTTTTTGGGGAGTTTTCTCTCCCCAAACTTTGGGGTCCCCTCTCACCGGTAGTTCCGGACGTGGCGGGTGATGTTATGCCAAACGGGGGCCATGGGGCCGGAGCAGAACCTGGAGGGGAGGGAATTTGGGCACCCACCCCCGGCCCCTCGAAATCCCCCGGTCCCTCCCCGCCTCAGAGCGGCTCTGAGAGGGTCCCCAGTGGTCCCGACCTGCGGAGCGCGGCCGGGGAGGGGACGGCGGAGAGCGCCACCTCCATCTCCTCCCGGAGCCAGCGCCCCAGAGCCTCCGCCATCATGGCCGGGGGGGCTGTGAGGGGAAGCGAAAAAGCGCGGGAAAAGCGGTGCGGGGCAGCACGGGAGTTGTAGTGCAGGAGGGGCGGGGCCTGCAGTGTTGCGCTATGGGAGGCGCGGGGCATGATGGGAGTTGTAGGCGAATAACTGTGCCGCTCTGGTGTGCGAAGGCTCATGGGAGTTGTAGGCGCGGCTATAGTGATTCGTTATGAGGCGCAGGGGTTGATGTGAGTTGTATGAGTGTTTGTAATACAGCTCGGTTGTCGCCGCGGAGCATGATGGGAGTTGTACTTCCGGCAGTTGGTCGAACGGGAAATTTGGGGGCCGAGGGCCACTTGGGGGTCCTAATGGACACTTGTGGGCCAGAGGAGCCATTTAAGGGATCCTCAAAAGGCACCTGAGGGGAATTTAGGGGTCAGAGGGCACTCGGGGCCACTTGGGGAGCGGCGGTCCTGCCGTTACCGTTCCTCTGTGGGGCGCGGGGGATGATGGTAGTTGTAGGCTCTGGGCAGCATGGGAATTGTAGGCAGAGAAGAGGCTTTACAGAGGGTCTGTGGGGCGCGGGAGGTTTTGGGGGACACCCGAGTGTCCGTTAGGGCACTTGGGGGTCCTGAGTGGGCACTGGGAAGCACTTAGGAACACTGGGGAGCATCTGGGGGTCCGGGGCAGGGCAGTTGATGAGCAGCTTAGAGTTTGGGGGTCATTTGGGGGCGTGTGCGGGGCACTCTGGGTGGCTGCGGGGCATGACGGGAATTGAAATGCAGCCACCAATATGTTTGCATGGGGCCGCAGGGCACGACGGGAGTTGTAGGCCACGTTTCAATGGCGCTCTTTGGGGCCGCGAGGCATGACGGGAGCTGTAGTCCAGCCGTCACTCGTTTTCTATGGAGCCGCGGGGCGTGACGGGAGTTGTAGTCAAATATCAAAATGGTGCGGCCTTCAGGTACCGCCCTTGAAGCCGCTGATTGCGTAGAAGGTTTGATTGGCAGTCTCCTCGGCCAATGGGAGGCGGCGCCGGCGGAAGGCGGGAAGCTGCGGCTCCCGGGGGCAGCGGTGAGGGGAGGGGCGCGGGTTTGGGGGCGATTTGAGGCGATTTTGGGGATTTTTGGGGGATTTTGGGATCCCTCATGCCCCCCCCCCCCACCCCTGCCAGGCCCCCGAGACGCGTCCGGAGCTGCCAAGGTGAAGGTGGAGAAGCCAAGCGAGCTCGGCCGGGAGCCCAAAAATCCCAAAGATCGCCCCTAAATGCCCCAAAATTCCCCAAAATCCCACCCGGAACCCCCCACAATCCCTCAGATTCCCTCAGGAATCGCCCAATTCCCAAAAGATTCCCCGAATTTATCCCAAATCCCCCCCAGGCCACCACAAATGCCCCAAAATTCCCAATATATTCCTCAAAATTCCACATTTTGCACAGTGAACCCCCAGATTCCCAAAACATCTCCTCCAAACTCCCCTTGGAATTCCCAAGATTCTCCTCAGACCCCCAAAAATCCTCAAAATTCTGCCCAAAATCCCAATTCAGTCCCAGAATCGCCTCAAAATTCCCATTTGAATCCCCAAAATTCCTTCCAGCACTCCCGAAAAATCCCAAACTTTCTTAAAATTCCCCAAAATTCCCATTCCAACCCCAAAAAAATCCCCTTTAAATCCCCAAAACAAACCCAAAATCCCCAAATCCCTAAAACTCCCCAAATTCCCATCCAGAGTTGCCACAAAATCCCAAAATTCCCCCAAATTCCCCCAAAATTCCCATTTCAACCCCAAAAAGTCCCCTTTAAGCCCCAAAATTCCCCCAAATCCCTCCCCACATTACAAAAAAAAATCAAAAAATTCTTAAAAATTCCCCAAAATCCCTTCCAAAAACCCCAAATAATTCCAAAAACTCCCCCAAAATCCCCAAAAATACCCAAAATTCCTCCAAAAATTCCCCAAATTCCCATTTCCACCCCCAAAATCCCCTTTAAAGCCCCAAATCTCATCCAAATCCCCCTAAATTTTCAAAAAATTCCCAAATTTCCAAAAAAATTCCCAAATTTCCCCAAATTTTCCAATTTTCCATCCCCAGAGCTGTCCCCAGGGGCCACCCGGTGCTGCCTGGAGCCCCCAAATCTCCCAAAAATCCCCAAAACTCCCCCAAAATTTCCATTTCCACCCCAAAAATCCCCTTGAAACCCCCAAAATCCCCCCAAGATTCCCAAAAAATCCCCAAAATTCCTTCTAAAAAACCCCAAATAGTTCCAAAAACTCCCCCAAAATCCCCCAAAGTTCCCCCAAAATTCCCATTTCCACCCCAAAAATCCCCTTGAAAGCCCCCAAATCCCCCCTAAAATTTCCAAAAATTCCCAAATGTCCCCAAAAATTCCCCACATTCCCAGAGCTGTCCCCCGGAGCCGTCCTGGAGCAGCTGCGGCACAGAGGGACCCGGTGACACTGGGGACATTTGGGGGATTTTGGGGGATTTTGGGGAATTCTGGGGGGTTTTGGGGGAAGTTTTGAGGGAAATTTTTGAATTTTTGGGAATTTTTTTGGAAATTTTGGGGGTTTTGGGGGATTCTAATGGTTTTTGGGGGGATTTTTGGCAATTTTTGAGGGATTTTTGGAGGTTTAAAGGAGATTTTTTGGAGGGTTTGGGGGATTTTTGGTGAATTTTGAGGGAATTATTTTTTTGAATTTTTTTTAATTTTGGGAGGATTTTTGGGGTTTAAAGAGGATTTTTTTGGGGAGAATTTGGGCATTTTTGGGAGATTTTTGGGGAATTTGGGGGAATTTTGGAGATTTTGGGGGATTTTAGAGGAAGTTTGGGGAAATTTGGGGATTTTTGGGGAATTTTTGGGGGTTTAATTGGGATTTTTTGGGGGTAGTTTTGGTGGAATGTTTTGGGAATATTCCCAAATTTCCAAAAAAATTCCCAAATTTCCCCAAATTTTCCAATTTTCCATCCCCAGAGCTGTCCCCAGGGGCCACCCGGTGCTGCCTGGAGCCCCCAAATCTCCCAAAAATCCCCAAAACTCCCCCAAAATTTCCATTTCCACCCCAAAAATCCCCTTGAAACCCCCAAAATCCCCCCAAGATTCCCAAAAAATCCCCAAAATTCCTTCTAAAAAACCCCAAATAGTTCCAAAAACTCCCCCAAAATCCCCCAAAGTTCCCCCAAAATTCCCATTTCCACCCCAAAAATCCCCTTGAAAGCCCCCAAATCCCCCCTAAAATTTCCAAAAATTCCCAAATGTCCCCAAAAATTCCCCACATTCCCAGAGCTGTCCCCCGGAGCCGTCCTGGAGCAGCTGCAGCACAGAGGGACCCGGTGACACTGGGGACATTTGGGTGATTTTGGGGAATTCTGGGGGTTTGGGGGAGCATTCGGGAAAAGTTCTGAGGGATTTTTGAGGGTTTAAAGGAGATTTCTTGGGAGAATTGGGGGGATTTTTGGGAATTCTGGGGGGTTTTGGGGGAAGTTTTGAGGGAAATTTTTGAATTTTTGGGAATTTTTTTGGAAATTTTGGGGGTTTTGGGGGATTCTAATGGTTTTTGGGGGGATTTTTGGCAATTTTTGAGGGATTTTTGGAGGTTTAAAGGAGATTTTTTGGAGGGTTTGGGGGATTTTTGGTGAATTTTGAGGGAATTATTTTTTTGAATTTTTTTTAATTTTGGGAGGATTTTTGGGGTTTAAAGAGGATTTTTTTGGGGAGAATTTGGGCATTTTTGGGAGATTTTTGGGGAATTTGGGGGAATTTTGGAGATTTTGGGGGATTTTAGAGGAAGTTTGGGGAAATTTGGGGATTTTTGGGGAATTTTTGGGGGTTTAATTGGGATTTTTTGGGGGTAGTTTTGGTGGAATGTTTTGGGAATTTTGGCGGTTTAAAGAGGAATTTTAGGGGATTTTTTATTTTTGGGGGGATTTTGGGAGTTTTCAGGGGATTTTTGGTGGATTTTGGGAATTTTTGGAAATTTTGGGGGGATTTGGGAATTTTTGGGGTCTAAAAGGGATTTTTGGGGGATTTTGAGGTGGAAATGGGAAATTTTTGGGTTTTATTTGGGTTTTTTGGGGGATCTTAGGAATCCTTGGGGATAATTTGGGGAACTTGGGGGATTTTTGGGAATATTATTGGGACTTCAAGTGGAATTTTGGGGGATTTGGGGTTTGGGGGGGGATTTTTAGGGGGATTTGGGGAATTTTGGGAGTTTAAAGGGGATTTTTTGTGGGGATTTCCGGGAATTTTGGGGAGATTTTGAGGGGGATTTTGGGGGTTTAAAGAGGATTTTTTTGGGGGGAGCCCTTTGGGGGACTTTTGGGTAAAATTTTAGGGATTTTTGGGGGGGATTTTGGGGATTTTTGGTGGATTTTGGAGGGATTTGGGGGAAATTTGGGGTTTTTTTGGGGGGAATTTTGGTTTTTTGTTTTTTTGGTGTTCCCCCCCCCCGGGGTTCCATTTTTGTTCCCTCCTGGATTTTGGGTTTCCCAGGGAGCCGCTGGAGGAGGAGCTGGGGAAGGGCTCCGGGGATCCCCCGGCCAAGTAAGGCACAAAAATGGGAAATCTGGGAAAAATGGGGATTTTCGGGAAAAATGGGGGGTGGGTAGGGGAAAATAACAAAAAAAAAAGGGGGATTTGGGGAGGGAAAATAACCAAAAATTGGGGGTTTGAGAGGGAAAATAACCAAAAATTGGGGATTTTGGGAGGGAAAAGCCACAAAAATTGGGGGTTTCGGGGAAAAAAATGGGGATTTTGGGAGGGAAGATACCCAAAATTGGGAGTTTCAGGAAAAAAACTGGGGGTTTGGGAGGGAAAATACTCAAAATTTGGGGGTTTGGGAGGGGAAATGCCCCCAAAAAAGTGGATTTGGGAGGGAAAATAACCAAAAATTAGGATTTTGGGAAAAAATATGGGGTTTTTGGGAGGGAAAATAACTGAAAACTGGGGATTTGGGGGAAAAAATGGGGATTTGGGGGGAAAATGGGGATTTTGAAAGGGAAAATACACAAAACTGGGAATTTGGGAGA